CCTCAATGGCAATATAAAAAAACAAACAAAAAAGCTTTATTTGTCTCTATTTTATTTCAAACTTCTTATTTCCCCTGGATATTTTAGGAAGATCTCTTCACTTTTCCAGGCATTTCAGGTATTAAACTATTTTAAGTGGGTAACTAAGACTCATTTTTAAGTATTCAAATGAACAGTTAAATATAGCATTAAAACTTTCGTATCATCTAATTGAAAGCTTCCTTTATTCCTCAACTCAGGCACAGACCTTGGCCTAATAACTCAAGGTAAAGGAGGAGTGAAATATTGTCCATTTTATTTTCTACTTTCTTTTTCTTCCATCTTTCCATAGCTCCAATGTTGGAAGACAGATTGGAAAAGTCTATCGCTGCTGTAGTTTTCATTCGGTGAATACTAGCTTCTGGCAAGATGAGTGCCTGAGTTGAGCTATCTGCTCATAAACTTTAGGAAAATAAACCATCTCCTGTGAAATATTTCACTATACTTCATTTTAGTCTGATATTTTTCAAAAAGTGTGTAGTGAAATCAATTTTTGGGGATTTGACCAGCATTCCTTGTTATGGAATGGAATGGAATTGGATGAGATGTGATGGAATGGCATGGAATGGATGGAATAGAATGGAATGAAATGGAATGGAATGGAATAGAATAGAATAGAATAGAATAGAACAAAATAAGGGTAAATTTTAATTTAGTATATACATGCACGCGTGCGCACATGCACACACACACACCCTTACTGGTGTGTGTCCTAGAATTTATGATTTAAAATCTATTTCATGCTAAAGTCAGAGTTTAAAAAAATTTGGGAGCCCCTGTACTAGTCCCATGGAATCACTAGCCCTTCTAGTTCTGTAGTGTACTAAACTTTCAGCTGGGGAATGGGATGCTGACCTCGCTCCTTTGAGGCAACCCAGTATGAACTGGTTCTCTGAAGGCATCCCACACTTGGATTGCTCCCCTATTCCCCTGCGTGAAAACACTCTCCCCTCAAAAACCCTATTTAATCTTTTTATAGAACAAACTCTAATAACCCCCTTTTTTTTAATAGCTGAAATAAGTGATGGC